GGCATCAGTGAACCCATTGGTGAACTCTGGACACACTGGGAGAACATGGGCTTTCATTCCTTAATCCAATAACCAGTATTAAAGGAAAGCAATTAACACTCAGGAGTGCCTGTTAATGCCATATTGTMCAGTGTCACATTCTCAATTTTATTAAAAGTACTGAGTGTGCTCTCTGTACAAATATAATTATTTACTCATAAATCATCCTCATGAAGCTCAAATCCTGGCATCAAGGAGGAAAGGGGATTTTTTCTCTCATCCAGTCTATTCTGTAGGGATGCTTTTGAGTTTGTTGCTTCCTCTGCTGGGAACTGTCTTCCATTGGTAAATGTCAATGTGGGTCATTCTGCACCTTACCAAGGACTAGGATGATTATAACTTGCCTTCTCAAGAGGCCTTCTTATGCTTCTTGAACCCCACATCCTGGAGTCTTCTCTCTCCCTGCTGTATGAGTTGGTATAGGCTGGGAATTACTGCTCTCATAAACAGCTCTGGGTAATTCTTGCCCATGCTCTAAGCATGTATCAGCAGAGGCTCTGCTCCACATAATCTCGAAGGGCCTGAAAAGGGGGCAAATGAATTCCATATGGGTTCTTCAAGAATCCTATCAGAATTGGCACACACCACTATACTCTTATTTGAATTTATCCTAAGTGAAGTCACCACACTCATCCCCAAACGGGAAGCAATTCTACCCTGTAGCTGCAGATGGGAATGTGCATGGTTTGTTAAACAGCTCCAATGACCACCATGATTTGTATCACAATTGGTAAATACTTGGCCCCGTCTCCCTCATCCTCTTCTTCAAAGGAAGCAATCCAAAAACCAACCCTGTCCCAGCCCTAAAGTCAAGTTTACATTATATGATTGGGCTTTTGTATCTATGGGTTCCATATCTATAGGTTCAATAAATTCTAGATCAGATATATTTGGAAAAACAAAACAACAACAACAACAACAACAACAACAACAACAACAAAAAACCCAAGAAGTTCAAAAAAAGAAAAACTTGAATTTGCAGTGTGCAGACCAGTAAGCTGAGTTTGTGTGAATGAAGTGATATGTGGGCAAAGGCTACCACACCTCCCACCATTTCACAGATTCTTGGTCTCCCTTTAGCACTAGTTATTCAACTCACATCTCATTTGTGTACTGTATAGTTAAGCCCATGATGGTTGTATCTGTAAAGAATATGTTCAGACTTTTTTTTCTTAGCACTATTCCCTAAATAATACAGTACAACAACTATTCACCTAGCACTTATATTGCGTTAGGTATTGCAAGTAATCTAGAGGTGATTGAAAGTATAGAGGAGGATGTGCATAGCATGCAAATACTGCACCTCCATTTTATATGAGACTTTAGCATCTTCAAATTTTGTTACTGGTGAGGGTTCTGGAACCAAGCCCCTGCAGTCACTAAAGGATGACTACATGTACATACATGTTCCTGTGAAGACATAAAATCTGGACATGGCTTCTTTTGGTACATTGACCAATATTCTATAAAGAATAGCTAGCTAGCTTGCTAAGCTTTCTTTCTCCCCACACATGCAATATGTACACCAGGATGGAAAAGGGCCAGCATGCCACAATGAACACACTGGTTTGTAGCAATTAAAATTCTAGTGGGCAAATATTGAATGAATGGGCTTTGGCCCTGGGTAAAGCCAAGGTATCCTTGTACTGCCAGTAATTCTGGTCCTGGGATGGAACTCCTGAGTACTGTTTTCTTCCTGACTCCATTGTCTCGCATTCTATTCTTTATCCATTAACCACTTTGGTCATTGTGAAGTGAACACTGGAGAATTGGCTTCCTTCAGAGCATAAAGCAGTTTTTTTTTTAGGCTGCTGTTTGCCCATGAAGGATAGGAATAAAAAGGATCATTTGAGTCTCAAATTGTCACTTTTCTTCCTAGCCTGTGGTTCCTTGGGAAGAACTTTCTTAGATCATAGCAAGCCTCTTCCCATTGAAGCCAGTGCTCAGCCACTTTTGCAAATCACTTCTCCACATGATTCTGAAATAGCATCTGTGTCTTTGGTATTGCAGGCCAGTTACTTCTCCCTCTCCCCTGCTGTCATTTTCCTCCTTTCAATCTTAAGAACAATCGTTCTTTGGTTTCTATGGGAAATTGGTCCCAGGACCTGCTCAGACACCAAAATCTACAGGTGTTTGTGTCATATAAAATGACAGGGTATTTGCAGAGACCCTCCCCCCCACACACACACACCTCTTCCTTTACCCAATACAATGTAAATGATATATAAATGGTTGTAATATTGTATTGTTTAGGATAAATGACAAGAATAAAAAGTTTATACAGGATCAATGCAAATGTAATTTTTTAACAATATTTTAGATCTATGGTTGTTGAATCCCAAGGAGGGCTGACTGCACAGGTAACGTGGCCCCATCAGTCTCTGGTGGAAGATCGTGGCTTTGTCTTTTCCTTCAGCCATAGTTACTTAGTACAAGATTTTACAGGATGAAAACTTAATTCATTTAGAGATTTGATTATTTCTACAAAGTTGATTTAACAGGCTTTGGGCATCAGGCAAGTTCTGCCTCTTCCAGCCTACCCAGGCTCTGAATTAGCTTCATCTTTCTCTTCTCTTTCATGATTGCTTTAAAAGGCAGAAGCCATTAATCCACAGAGGCACTTTTAGGAGACAGACAGACTTCAGTGGGACTCCCATTGCTGCTATCACACAGCTCACTACAGTTGCAGATCTTTGTAGAATTGAAGCTTCTGGGGAAGTGCCCTTGATAACCTGCTCCCAGTAGCTGCCTCCCTGTTACTTGCTCCCCTGGATGCTCAAAGCTTGTGCAAGACTCAGCTTCCTTGTTCTGTGTTTCCTCCTACATTGAGTACTTGGGTACTTCCTTACTATGTTTTCTTTTGTGATAACAAAATTCTCGAGACTATGTGAAGGATGGAAATTTATTTGGTACATGGTTATAGAAGTTGGGAAGACCAAAGCATGGCACTGGTAACTGGTGAGGGTCTTCTTGCTGCACCATGACATGGCAGAGGGCATCATATGGTGAAACAGAACAAGCATGCCCTCTGCCATGTCATGGTGCAGCAAGAAGACCCTCACCAGTTACCAGTGCATGCTTTGGTCTTCCCAACTTCTATAACCTTGTACCAAATAAATTTCCATCCTTTACACAGTCTTGAATCTTCCATTTCTTGTACAGCCACTAATGCAGTCCTGGGAACCCCACACTCAGGACCTCATCCAGTCCTAATTACTTCCCAAAAGTTCCACCTCCAAGTGCCATTAACACAAATTTGGAGATTTCCAGCACCCAAGCTTTTGGTGGACACATTCAAACCAAAACAGTTTGTTTTCTGCCATTAGAATTCTTAGAATCAGTCTTATTTTTCTGCATGTTATATGTGACCATCAGATACACTTTATTTTTATCTTGAATATTTATGTAAGGCCTGTCTTCCCTGTTTAGAATATAAGCCGTATTAAAGCCAGGAGATTCTTATTGGGCTAGTTCTGGGTTGCTGACRGTTTTCAGGGCCTGGCATAGTTAATGATGAATGAATGGATAAGTTAATAGAGGGCTGGTTAGACTACAGATTAGCAYGTTGAATTACCTATCTCAGAAAGGTTCTTTAATTGGAAACTCAATGGAAAAGATAGCTATGGGATTTGTTGAGAATTACCTACAGTACCTAGTAGAAAGTATGAAAGATAGTTAAGATCCTTAACCATCAGTCCTACAACCTTCTTTCCCTGGGCATGATGGTAATTCTTTAAACTGTGATTATGGGAATGACCTCTGAGGTGGGCCATTTGAGAGATACATTTTAGATCCCGTAGTGGTTTCAGGCCTTTCTTAATTATCTGATGGTCACAGAAAAGCTTTATTGGGTTCTGCGATTTATAACCTGGCGCTTTGCCTCTATAACCTGAGCTCTCTCAGCCTTCAGTCAGCATTTGGCTTGAATGGCTATTCTCTCTACTGTTCTTTGCTGTTTTTTTTTCTTTTTTGTTTTGGGTTGTTTAAGAAGACCCTTTATTTTTTATATTTTGTATTGGTGCGTTACAGTTGTACATAATGGTGGAATTTGTTGTTACATATCCATACATGCACACAATATAACTTGCTCAAAATCATTCTCCAGTATAGAGACATCTCATGAAAATCAAAGGTAGATCTGTAGAATAGAGGAAAGTGATTAGGAAAGGGAGAAGAGGAGAGAAAGGAGAAGAATCTGAGTAAAAACAACAATAATAATAATAATAATAATAATGTTATTATTATTATTTTTATTGAGTTATAGATGAAAGCCAGGAATTAGGGATTAACATTTTTTTTTTTTAGAGAGAGAGAGAGAGAGAGAGAGAGAATTTTAATATTTATTTTTTATTTTTGGCGGACACAACATCTTTGTATGTGGTGCTGAGGATCGAACCCGGGCCACACACATGCCAGGCGAGCGCGCTACCTCTTGAGCCACATCCCCAGCCCAGGGATTAACATTGAATCATATTTGTATCATTACAAAACCTTTAAGAAGTGGAAATTACTATGTTCCTCATTTTACAACACAGAGAACATACATTCTGCTAGGTCACACTTTGTCAAACTTGAACCTCTGAACACAGGTCTGCATCCACCCTGTGAAATATATTCTACTGTCTCCTTCAGTCCCTCCTTATACTTTATAAATGTATTGCAATTTAAGGTTTACAAAGCAATATGTAATATCTCATATGTTATACTATTGATTAGTCATATTTATCATTTGCTGAATCATACCATGTTATAAACAACGAGCTGTATCAGTCATGAACAAAGAGAGGAATGAGAACATGAAAATGTAAACATGGAGGAAAAATAGACTTTGTTGGTGAAAATAAAGGGGAAACAACTAAGGCACAGAAAATAAAACATTCAGAAAAGCCACTAATAGGATTGTTTCTCTCTCTCTCTCTCTCTCTCTCTCTCTCTCTCTCTCTCTCTCTCCTGTGTTTCAGGAATACCAAATTGATATATTTTTTGCTCAGACCTGGACAGACAGTCGTCTTCGATTCAACAGCACAATGAAAATACTCACACTTAACAGCAACATGGTTGGGTTGATATGGATCCCTGACACAATCTTCCGAAATTCTAAAACGGCAGAGGCTCACTGGATCACAACTCCCAATCAACTCCTCAGAATTTGGAATGATGGGAAAATCCTTTACACTTTAAGGTAAGATGTCCTGTGGATCTCTTTAAATCATTAACTGACACATAGTACATGTGCCATTTGTACATATTTATGGAATACATTACAATAATTCAATACATGTATACAACATTTGTTAATCCAATCAAGGTAGTTAGCATTCCAACTCCTCCAGTATTTATCATTTCTATGTGTTTGTAATTTTTGTATATTTCTAGTTGTTTTAAATACATGATAAATCTCAGACTATAGTTACTCCATTGTGCTATAAAATACTAGAACTAATTCCTGCCATCTAACTACACGAATCTTTAATTACTTATGGTCTAATTTTGGATCCTTAATTTAAGTTATTGTTGAAATGAGACCCTATTTTTATGTCTAAGTTCTGTTCTTTCTCATGTTTAACATACTACAGAGTTCTGAAAGAGTCTGTCCCCCTAATGGCAATTGTGTAAAAATAAAGGCATTCAAATGATCTGCAATGAATAGGAACTAATTCATTCATCAGAATCCATTTCTGCTGGAAATTAGTTGTGAAAATTATCTTTTATATATTTAACTCCATAAGTCCACTCAGCTTGGAAAATACAGATGTCTTGGAGTTCTAATTAAAAAATGTCATTATAGTTAAATTTGAGACCACCAGGACAAAGGACAAAGTGGGTGTTCCCCAACTCATCCCTAAAGGAAGATGCAGCAACCCGGCAATGTGTCCTCTTAGAGCCAGCCAGTCCTACAGAAACCCAGGGAGATGAGAGAATCTTCTTCAAAGAAGTGGCTTGACTTTCCAAAGTCACTGCATGGAAGTAGTGTGACCAGAGTTTGACCTAAGTCTGAGTCCACAGTGCTCCTCACATTCCCAGAATGGTCTAAGCTTACCAGAACACGAAAATAGTGCCCCCCATCCTGCCTTTTTGCTTATTTAGTGCTAGGATCAGGAGGACAGCACCCTCTGGCAGTGGCCTCTGAGGGCATACAATTCAGAAAGGCACAGCTCTCATATCTTCCTGGATTTCTCAGAAGACTCTCACCTCTGTTTTAACAGACTCTATGCCCCTGCCTCCAAAGGCACATGGCTCTCTTCTATACCTCATGCCACTGACCTGTGGCTGATTCTCATGGTGCACTTACTACCTCTGGACCTGCCCCACACACACACACACATTGGCTTGGTTCATCTACTTCCTTGACTTTAAAGTCATATCCAAGCTGAGGATCGGGGTGGTTGTTCTGGACTGCAGGTTCTTGGAGACCACCTGCCTCTCTGCTACTGTAGGCTAACAAGCATTTCAATTTAGTATGGCTCAGGGGACTATGACTTCTCTCCTACCTCTGACCCATGCTCCATGTCTTCCCTGTTTAGACCATACCACAATAAGTTCCTCATGTACCCTTTGCTTACAGCCCTTAATTCCCCCCCTCTCACACACACATCCAGTGTCATGAGCTTTCAATTACAGGTGCTTGTGGCCCTGAGATCAGTGACTCCTAGTATTGAACAAGTGCCGGTAGCACAAATGACATAGACAAATATCAAAATAAGCAGAAGATAAGAGAATATTAAAGTTTCTGAGAAATAATAATTTTGCAGACAGGGAACAATAGCAGCAACAAAAAATGTCACAATAGTGAGGTCTGCTGATGAAAAACATTGATAAAGCAAGAGTTTGAAACAGGTGTTACATCAATTCTAAAGAAATACCAATGAGACGCTGGAATGAAATAGAGCCTCAGTGAATCTTCAGGGAGACATGTCTGGTCTTGGGATYCTGTAGAGAAACTCTGTCACACAGGGTGTCTGCTCTGGAAAGATGCAGTATGCTACTTAKTATAACCATCACCTTCCTCATGAAGTAGGGGATTGCCCAAGTAGGAAATCCCTCCACAAGTAGATCGATGTGGCATAATAGCTATTTAGACAAATATACCAGTTTCAGACGGAGGAGGAATTTCATTCAAACAGTTTGAGAACGACAACTTATAAAACAACAGTTGGGTTTTTTTTCTCCTCCCTGACTTGGCTTGTATTTGTAGACACAGTTGGAATGTTACTAACTGGAATTCTCTGTTTCTGATTAAAAGCCAAACAAAATAACACAATACAAAGACAACAACAGGGCTTCACTGGGTGAATAGTATAATTGCCCAGAGTGAGTTGCATGTGCTGGACCCTGCATCATGGAACTTCCCTCCCTCTCCATGCATCCTGGTGCCTCAGCCACCCTATGGGCCTTACCCAGGGCCTCGGCTGTGTTGTTTCTGACCCCAAGAGTGATGCTTGGCTCTTCCACAGGCTCACCATCAATGCAGAGTGCCAGCTGCAGCTGCATAACTTCCCCATGGATGAGCACTCCTGCCCTCTGATCTTCTCCAGCTGTGAGTACCCTGGTGGGCCATGAGTGCTGTGCAGGGAGTGACTGGTGTGGTACTGGTTTCTGGCAAGCAGTCCTGCAACTGGTAACAGTGTCACTGTCCAACCAGAGAAAACTGATGATGGCTTTTGGTGTCAGCCACCTTTTTTCATTCCAGATGTTCTTAGACAGGATTTATGTTACAAAATAGATAAATTTGATAAAGTGATGAGCAACTTAGCATTCACCATAAAATTGAAGTGTTCAGAAACTAATGACCAGTGGACTTACCAAAGATTTATGCTGATGAGATGTGCATATTATTTGAAGTATATAAATTTTTTGCAATATTTTTAGGCTTGATATTTTAAGGCAAAGTGAATTGTTTTCTAAATAGGAAGAAAAATGTSTTTTAAATCTATTTGTATTTATATCATTGTACTACTGTAAGGCACATTTTTATAGTGTTTCATCCTCACATATTTCATTTGTGATTCATATCATAGCTAACAAGCAATCACTTACAAATTCTTTAAGATGGCATCTAATACTAAAGACAAGAGTACATATAAAGGAAATATCAAATTTATTTGCTTACTCATAAAGCTTTTAAGTAAAGGTCAATATGGAAATATATTTGCTGAATTTATGATGGTTCACTTTAAATATATTAATCACTAGTACTTATGTATGACTCACAGGAATTTAATTAACTTTATTCAATTTCTTTAAAATTGCATATGGAGCCTGACAAACAAATCTGATGAAATCTCAGGCAGACGTTGTGTGAAACAAGAGATGAATGCACTTTATAATTCCTTTTAGGTTCAGAAAAAGACAAAATGGAAAGGTAAATTTTAGTAATCTTCTAGACTGGGTTAAAGTATTTTTCTGTAAATATTCACTTAATTAGTTGAATCTAAACTTATTATTTTTGTTGATAACACAAACAGTTCATGCTTAGCCAGTGGATGTGAATGTTTATAATATCTGGTAACCTTGCCTGCAAATCCATTTGGGATAGTTCTCTATTTATTTACTCTAAAAGTTACAGAATCCTCTAAATCAATGTGTTGTGAGTCACTTTGGTATGACACACATACACATATTGATATAATGTTTATGAGTGATTTGTCCAATTCATAATTTATCAGCTAACCCAAGTTGGTTCTGTTGATTCTTCCAGTGAACTGATATGGTCTTAACTCATTTATTGAGTTTGTAATTTTAGTGGTTATTTTCTAATTATTAGACATTAGTTTGGCATCTTCTATGCAATTTTGGCCCTGATTTCTTCACCAGRTTTTTAATAATGGCTATTTAAATTTTCAAAACATATCAATATGTTTTTGGGTAGGTTTTGCACAATTTATTTAGTTATTTGTTAATTCGAGTTCATGTTTTCTGGGACTTTTTCTATGTGTTTCTTTGAGTCTTGTCTGTAAAGATACTTTTTTTAAAGATGGTTTGCTCTGCTTCTCTCTGGTATCACTATCATTTTAATTTTTATTCAAACTTATAAAACTAAAGAACACTGCTAATAATTGGATTCACTACCCAKAATGTGATGCTGCTAATTCACTACTATTTGGTATGAAATTTATGTTGGTGCTTTCCTTTTTAAAATCCCTATTATTAGGATGTAATCTTCATGCAAAATAAAAACAACCTATTTCCAGTAAAGTTCAATGAACCCTGAGAATTTCACATATCTATGTAAATACCAGTACACAGAGATAATAGAACATTCCCATTAGTTCAGATAGTTTTTTTTAATGTGTCTGTGTGTGTGTCTGTGTGTGTGTGTGCGCGCTCGCTGAGACTTGAACCCAGTAGGACCTTGTGCATGCTAAGCACATGTTCTACCACTGAACTGCATCCCCAAACCCTCTTTTGCATCTTTGCAAACAATTCCCCCACCCCTGGCTCATGGCATTGCTGATCTAGTGTCTACTGCTACAGATTAATGGTGTTTATACTAGAATTTTGTACTTTATGTCTGGCTTCTTTCACTCAGCATAATATCTTTGAGATTCAAACATATTAGTACATGTATCAATAGTTCATTTTCTATCACTGTAAATTAAAATTTAAGCCTGAGTACCTGGGCCATATAGATGGTATGAACTCTAGCTACCTAAATGTCTTCGTGATTTCAGGCATGTAGTTATAAATTCTTTGCACAGAAATTCATTTTTTTTTCTCTTACATGTTTTCCACAAAGATGGACAGGGACTCTTCTTTTAGGGAGAGTTTTTCCAGATTCCTCCAGCTGAGGTTTCTTCACTTCCCCAGTCCAGCAGCCATTAATGGGTTCTCTGCCCAGCATGGCTTCTCTGCTGGGGCCCAGCTGTGTTGCTTGCTCATGTGGGGCTGAGGTCCAGACCAGCAGAGACTGTCAGGTTCCTGAGTGCTCCAGTGTAGGCCTGCTCCTTGGGGTCTGATGGTTTCCTTTACTCCCTCAAGTTTTCAAAATGTGCCTGAAAAATTTACAAGCCCTTTCAAGTGCTCCATTCCAAGAGGAGATTTTCCACACATGCAGTTTACAATACTGCCAGAAAGAAAAGTACTTATATGGATTGTTTAAAAAAAAAAAAAAATTTTATAAAAATGAAATAATTTAAATTCTTAAAGATAACTCACATAAACAACCACTCAGGGAAACACCATTATAAAAGCTTAACTCTAACAATGTCTTTCTAGAAGGCATAGAGTACTAGGAAGAAGTCCGTCATGGTAGGAAAAATGATTTGCAAGACCATCCACATGTATTTTCACGTCTCTGATATCATGTAGTAGTGGAGCATGATCAGATTTGGGTATCAGGKMTTGAATTCAAAGGCACTCGGCCACTGAGCCATATCCCCAGACCTATTTTGTATTTTATCTTGAGACAGAATCTCATTGAGTTGATTAGCACCTCACTTTTGCTGAGGCTGGTTTTGAATGGTCCTCCTGCCTCAGCCTCCTGAACATGGGATTACAGGCATGTGCCACTGTGCCTGGCTTCAAAGACCTTTTTACATGTGGACAAATAAAAGCTACTATGTCTGAAAAATCAGGGCACTGAATGACTAGATTGATGTTTGGCAACCAGATAAAAATAAATTTTAAATGACAAAACTGGATATGGACTACTATGTACCCACTAGAATGGCCAAAATCTGAACATTGACAAGTTCAAAGATAAGTGAGGAGGTAGAACAACAGAAGCTCTCATTCATTGGCTTTTGGAATACAGAATGGTCCAGCTATTCTGGAAGACAGTTGGATAGTTTCTTACAGAATTAAATATACTTTTGCCATATGACTCAGAATTTGCACTCCTTGATATTTATCCAAGTAAATTTAAAAACATATTTCCACACAAAAGCCTGTGTACACGTATTTATAGTAAGCTTATTCATAATTACCCAAACTCAGAAGTAGATATCCTTCAATAGGTGAGTGGATAAACAATCTGGCTCATTCAAACAGTGAAATACTATTCAATGCCAGAAAAAAAGATATCAAGCCATGAGAGACACGGAGGAAACTTAAATGCATATTTCTAAGTGAAAGAAGCCAATCTGAAAAGGCTAGATACTGTATAATTTCAACTATGTGACATTTGGGGAAAAGGCAAAACTGTGGAGACAGGGAAAAGATCAGTGGTTGTCAGGGGCTGGAGAGTGAGGGATGAGTAGATGGAGCACAAAAGATATTTAGAGCTGTGAATGTATTCTGTGTGACACTATAATATTAGATTTATGACATTGTGCACTTATCCAAATGGACAACACCAAGAGTGAATCCTAATGTTAACATGGGCCTTGGTTGATCATGACGTGTCAATAGGTTCATTGATTATAACTAATACACCACTCTGGTGCAGCTATTAATTGTCAAGGAGGCTCTGAAGGGAGAGAGGGAAAGAAGTATATGGGAGCTCTGCACTTTTTGCTTAATTTTTCAGAAAACCTAAAACAGCTGTTTTAAAAAGTCTAATAAAAACAATAACAATTGGAGGTAGAGAAGGAATTTATTCCAATCATAAATGAAAAGGCCCCAAATAAAAAATAACTGGGAATCCCAAAATATAAAGCTCTGCTTTAAAGAATAAATTTACTGAACTAATTTACATGTGTGGCATTGATTCATGTATATATTATTCATTTTTTATAAATGAGAATGATAACACTTTTTTAAAGGAAAATGTGCTTTGATGATTTGGAGTTATGGAGGACAGTTTTATCTATGACATTTTGGTACCTAACTTATTTCTACGTTATAAATGTATATTATGAGGAAAACCCTCATCATAACACTGATGAGCAATTGGAAATGAAGTGGTGTTTGTTAACACTTGCTTTGAATTATTATTATAGTACTTTTCAGTTATTTGCAATCAAGAGCTAATTTTTTCTATTTAAAAATTGACAGCAGCAAAACTGAACAATTGTTTACATTTCCCKTCATAAATAAAAGCTAGGAAAATTCCTTAAAATGTATAGTAAAATTTAATGAGATCATTAATATGATAGTAAAGGCTTTCTACTTATTAAACAACTTTCTTATTAAACAACTTCTTAATTCAATTAAAAGACCCAGGACTGCACCTCCTTTTGGTGCCAATGTTTTTTGGTGGTAAATTCCCTAATATAAATTTTGTTTCTTTAGTAGTCTATCTGACTGGCACAAGCAAAACCTCTCAAATGATGACAATTCTATAAAATTTTCCAATACATTCACAGAGATTAGGTAATTTCATTTGATATATAGCATGTTTGGGTTTATTGTTACTATTGCTATTTTATTATTTTGGTGCTGAGGGTAAACCTGGGGTCTTGGGTATGCTAAACACTCAATCTACCACTAAGCTACACCCTCAGCCCTAGGCTTATTATTCAATAACTGGGTTTCTATATTTTTTAAAGTAGTTGAGATTTTGGAGATATTTTAATAACTTAAAAATCTATTGTATTTTCTGTAGATATTGAGTTTCAGAATCAGAATTACAAAACTCCTAATATATACTGAAAGAGA